TGTTACACATAGCTGTATTGTAAGCAATTACATTAATCTACAAAAAAAATATGATATCAAAATACTATTTGCTTATACTTTTTKTCATTTACATCCTTTATTATTAACGATAATATAGTAATAGTTGATATATAATATCTACTTACTGCCTCTCAAGTATAGAGAACAAGTGGCAATAATGGTATATTCATATTGTTGTACTGTTATCACAAATTCTAGAAATGCTCCTAAACTACATAACTAAAAAAATAATTCATAGATAAACATTAGGAGTAGCATAGGAGTTTGATTGTTCCTTTTCTGTGGAGTTCTTTTGAAACTTGTCAGGCCTCTGAAAAATAAGATAAATCATGTTAATATTGAATGCATGTATTGCAATATGCTGGTGATCAGCATCTGTTCACRGACTTTACTGATGGCCRTCTGCTAAAAAATAAAAATTATGACTAAATAATTAAATAATAACATTATCAGCAACGCCCCAAACTTACAAGGGCATTTCAAAGTGTCTTCATGTCCAAATGCATCCTTGATTCGCCTTCCATTAAATCTGTCAACACACCAACAAAAATTTTGGAAACATTGTCGAATGTTGTATAGTCCTGAGTAGTCGTCACATTGAGGGACATARATCTTTGCYAAAACATCTTTATCAATCATCTTATGATAGGTGTYGACCAAGCTCAAGCACTCAGTCTGTTCTGTAAACAAATTCAAAATGAATTATTAGGGAAATATACATTGATAGATACTTTAAAATTATTGACCAGAACTCTCTAATTTGTCATTGTGTATTGGTATTCGTCATACCTATATAAAATTAACATGGGAATCCTGTGTACTAAGTCTAAGTTTCAGATAGTTCACGATGTTAAATTCATTGAAGTTGGCCAGGGATTAAAAGGAAGGTATAATACCACTATTCTGTCTAATATTGTTTCAAGATAGAGTATCAACGGTATGCATTGTTTGTAAGTTCATTCAACTGGCACTTATCCGAAGTATGGGAAGCCAACAAAGTTGTAAAATTTTGATGTGGTCTTTCTTGTAAAAGGTTTCACTTTTTCAATGAGATTAATTATAGAAACTTGTTCCCAGTCCTTTTCTTGTTTCTAAAATTATCTCCAATACTGAACATGTTTGCATACCTCTCTTAGTTTTGGGAGGTGTACACGTCTCTTTATTGTTGGGTAGTTTTATAACTTCTCTCACTTTTCTTCCTTTTTTATCAACACACCAACAGTATCTAGCCTGTGGTTTTTTTGAGTTTGGCTGCCAACACTGCTTGGCTTGGTAGTCACCATTTTTGTCACACTCAGGMACAAAGGATGAATTKCCAGCRATAGCCTTCTTCTTGAAGAGTAAACATGGCTTCTGTTGTTGCAACTTTGTTGGTGTTGCATTACTTGTTTTGTTCACTGGAAATGAATTGTTCTTATTACTAAATATGCATGTGTTTTTTTTATTTATTGATTATCAACATGATAAAAAAAACGATTCATTTATTTAATATTACCATAATAATCTCGCTACTAGACTTATATATATTTAATTTTGGCTCATTAATTTTGATTTGGTCAAATCTCTTACATGTGATATAATTGCCATAAATCTATTTAATCACCAAAAGATCCACAAAACACTCTTAACAACAGCATATTCAGGATTCTGGATCCACCCCACCCCTATATATGACCAAGCAACTCAACAACATTGAACCGATAATTGTTAAAATGCTTGACTTAACTTACCATTGGCTTGTGGTGATACAGCTGTAATTCAGTGAAAAAAAAGATTTAACATAAAATAGGCAGAATGATGAACTACACAAAAGATTTTTTCAGTTCTAGAAGTCCTATGGATTTGAACTATTCCGGGTGTCTCGTATTTATATTTTCCATCCTTCAGTTGAAATCTTAAATAATTYAGGTGCAGCTTTTTCTATTACTTAGGGCCGATTTATATTCCGAAATAAGCAGTGATTTAGTGTAAAAAAAGGGAAGGTGTCAATTCGCCCAATGACAACGAATCCTGGGAAAATTCCTAAAGCTCTAATCCAGGCACTTTGAATCTGGAGTCCGAGACAATAGATCTGATTTACAGGTATTGGATAAATCGGTTGAATCTAAAATCCGCTATATCATGGAATTCGGAATCCTTTCTAGAATACTTAGTATTTACAATCCGGAATCTCGGAGTTTGGAGTCCGGAACCATTAATGTATCAATGGCAATCGTTCTACATAAGATATAGACGTAAGCATAAGGCCATGCATAAGATAAATAACTGCAAAATAAKGAGTCAATCCCTAAATCTAATTTTTTTTTTTCCGCATATACTCATGTCGCATTGTGAACCACCCTTAGTTCCCCGATCGGACGTTCTATTGAGTGAATTGAGGTCTGTATCACCGCTTACTATAGATAAACTATAGTGGCTTAATGTGTGAAGATACTTACTTGCACATTTGTAGATGCATTCTTTTTTTGTCATGAAGTTATTCTGATTTCCTTGACATCCACCGTAAATGAATTTYACGCATTTCTTTGTCTTTTGGTCAAAATAGTACCGAGGGTAATTGCCCTGACACATGCCGCTTTGTTTAGGGAGAAAACAAACAGCAACTTCTAGAAATGATCATAAGAAAGACTATCAGTTATCAAACTCACTATCTCTATACTGCTAAGAAATGCTAGCAAAGTACTCCAATGGTGCCTAAACGTAGTCGGATTTTTCTCGCTTTTTCTACGTACTTTGGAGACCGTTTTTTGAAACATTGCGAACACGAGTGGACGTAGCACATATTCAATAAAATATTTTATCGATGCCAAAAACTCCGGCTGCGCGTCGACTAGACCTCAGAATTGCTGTCACATTGACAAAGTAGATTGCATCTTACAGACCAGATAGAAGCAAGGGGGTGGGGGAGGGAAACAATAGCATAAACTATTATGTCTATGAAACGAAAAAAATAAGAAGGGAGGTCCACGGGGTGTGCACCTAGAGTCACCAGACATAACCCCTCCCACTCCCCTAATATTTCAACTCCTACGTTATTTTATAAATTGTCTCATTTCAGATCAGATATATTGTTTGTTTTTTAACTCGGAGATTGCGTAAGCAATCGTAGAGTTATTGGGAGGGGACAGGCTGTCACTCGGTCACTTTCCTGTAAACTTCCTGTTACGTTTTCTGTAAACTTCCGGTTAATTTTTGGTCACTATAGTGACTTCTGTAAATTTGCATTTTGAAGGAAATTCATTTAGATGGCCTTCCTGTGTTATTTCATGTTCCCACCAGGTTTCGAACTCGCGACCTCTGGATTGTACGCCAAGCGCCTTAACCGATTGTGCCACGGTGACACTTTCATTAAATCTGGCGTGTTTTAGTAGTTTTATTGGGAGCACCGCAGTTCGAGTCCAGCTTGAGACAGGACATTTTTTTCTTTTTTTCTTTTTGATGTTTTGGAGATTCTCTTTTCTTTTTCTCCTTTTTCTAATAATAACAAACATGTTTCTGCATAAAGTTTTGTTTTTAAGAAATTCTTTTAATTTTTGCGATCGGT